GCGGGGAACTCTGCAAAAAACGCATCTTCGCACGGGCAGCCCGTGCGTTGGCCAATTTTTTCCTTTGCTTATACACCTTCGTTGCTTCGGCACCCATCAACATGGGTGCTACAGTCGGCTTATATCTATAGCGAGGCATACGCCAAGCCTTCGACACCGGGTTGATAATCTGCAATCTTGTCTAACGATGAATATGTGCTGTTGTATTAGTTTGTGTAATAAAGTTACCCTAACTCGGTCGGATTGTCGCGTTAAGAGTAGCTCGTCCAGCGTGCAGTCATTGTCTCTACACCTCGTTAATTAAGCTCCCTCCATCTCTTCGTTGTCGGTCCAGGCAATTCAACATCGAGGACAACGAAATAACACCTTGAAATGATCGTCAGACTATGGCGCTTAGTATTTTGAGTTTTAGCAAAATCAAAAATGTCATTGGTAGAAAAAAGTGCATTTCGCTTGAAATTTCTTCTTTTTTTTTTGAAATTCTATGAATTTTTTATCTGTTTCGTTGCAGCGCTCTGTTTCCGGATGTGGTGAACTGTATGCAGACAGATAATGTTGAATTGAAGAAGCTGGTTTATCTGTATCTAATGAATTATGCAAAAAGCCAACCAGATCTTGCTATCATGGCTGTCAACACTTTTGTTAAGGTACCACAGAACATTTTTTTAAGATGGCCTATTGATTTTAACAGTTTTTTTTAGCGCTGTTGTCGGACTAAAAGTCGCTAGTTCTATCCGAGGAATGAAAAAAAAAAAACATTTCTACGATTCGTTAATTTGTTTTGATGGGGGGTTAACGCCGACGTGCATGCTGGGAAGTCAAAATCGCCTTTTGCTTATTTTTTAAGTAACTCGCGGGAAATAGGACATTGGCAGTTTTACCGATGGATTTTTGTTGTTGGCAGCAAACTTGGACCACTTCTGAGCATCTGTATCTCTCAAAAGGAGAAATTTTTGGTTTTTGAGCTTTAATTATTCGGAAAGTTGCGTTAATTTGGGGGCACGGATTTCTCTAACAGCGAAGTGTTACATTTTGTTAAAAATGTTGTATTTTGAATGAATCTCTGACTTTTTTCTCATGTAGGTTGCGTTTTCACTGTGTTATGTATCATGAAAATTTTGTAGTGTAAGATCTTTCTGAAATTAACTTGACTCTTATTAAGAATGTTTACTTTAAGATTGCATGATTTTTCTTTTCTTTTTTGGAGAAATTCAAATAATTTCCAGGATTGTGAAGATCCAAACCCGTTGATTCGTGCTCTGGCCGTGCGAACAATGGGTTGTATAAGAGTCGATAAGGTGAGCTATTTTTTATAATGCTGTAGCAGATATTATTTGTAATTGTTGAAAAGTTTTTTTGTTGTCATAATTGGCTTAAAGGGGGTAAATCATATTCTCTTTTTTTCATCTGTGTAGTTGGCCACTTTTCTTTTTGCTTTGATCAGTGCTGCATCGCCTGATGATTAGCCTGCTGCTAGCGATCGTGACGTACGTTTTTTTTTTCTGGCTTCTCCCGATCCAGGCATTTAACAGAGATTTGGATTTTGCAAAATGTTCATGAAGTGTGTTAGGCATCACAATTTCACGGAAATCTCGCAAGATTTTAAACGATCCAGAACTTCACTTCTGGACAACGATGCGACACTTACTAGCTAAAATGAAATGTTGATTATCATAATTTAAGGTTTTTTTTGTCCTTATTGGGATTCACTATGTTAATTTTTTTTTTGGAATTTTTAAGATCATATTTCTTTTCAGATCACGGAATATTTGTGTGAACCTTTGCGTAAATGCATGAAAGATGAGGATCCGTATGTTCGTAAAACTGCGGCAGTATGTGTTGCGAAATTGCATGACATCAATGCATCACTGGTGGAGGACCAGGGTTTCGTGGATTTGCTCAACGATTTGTTGAGCGATTCGAATCCAATGGTTTGTTCTTGCGATATCGAATTGCCTTTTCTCCCCCTCCCCCTCCTCCCTCTTTTAACCCGCTTCCCCCTCCGCCTGCTTCCCTCCTTTTCATAATGTACTGCAAGAGTCTAATGATCAACACAGGTTTTTTGAAAATTTCATAATACTCTCACCGGCTTAAAATACTTGATTCGTCTCTTATGGTGTGGATTTCGAGCTATGAAGCTAGCATGTTTTTTAATTTGCTCTGACAGATTTTGTTCTGTCCAAAAAATTTGACGTGCTGGTGATCCTGACGTTCGTTTCATCATCATCTCCTGGATTAATTACAAGGCCAGTGGTTCTCTCAACAGAAACATTTGGCAAGGCTTTCACGTTCAATTATTCGTATTACTTTTTTTGCCGAGAAGGTCGGCAGATCTTTATAACCATCGTTATAATCTGAATTATCGAAAAGCAGAGGTTTTTTTGAAGTATCCTTGGTTTAAGACGACTTCTTCCCGATCATGATGAAGGTACCCTACGAATTAGAATTTATCAGACAAGAAAAAACCAAAATGCTCAGTTCGCCTTATTAAATATTGCTTTGGTTAGCTGTTATCGTAGGGTTTAATGTCTGTAATTGTTATGTTCTTAGCCAACGGACTGTTGCAGGTAGTGGCAAATGCCGTAGCAGCTTTGACGGAAATCAACGAATCTCATGTACTTATTGAGATTAACTCCCAAACAATCAACAAACTGTTGACAGCACTGAATGAATGCACCGAATGGGGCCAAGTTTTCATTCTTGATGCGCTCTCTTCCTATCAGCCAAAAGATGAGCGCGAAGCACAGAAGTATGTTTTTTTTGTGACTATGTTTTTTATGTTTGTTTTTTTTTTAATGTTTTTTTTTTTTTTTCATCAGTGATCTCCGTGGAGCTAAAATTCAATGTTTTGCGCGAAAACACTGCTAGTTTCTGAGTTTTTATGCGTTTTTTGCAGCAATGCAGTGCGGAAAACGCATATTGACGAGAGGTTGTCTGTGTGTCTGTACATCTGTGTGTGCGTCTGTCACGCACTTTCATCTCAGGACCTACAAAAGCTACGGGGCTGAAATTTTG